CTTCCGCGAATAATTTTCTAAAGTTCTATAAAATATTTGTAAAGTGCTTCGGAATTGTATAGCCTTCAGGTGGCATATTATTTTAAAAAATTTTATGCTTCGAAAATCTTTACTGCCTTTTCTTACTTTTGTTTTTCCTCTGACTTGCTTCATAGTTGTCTTACGAATAAGCCGGTTCGAATTATTAATATCCGTGCAAAGCGCGATAAACCTGGTTAGCCACCTCTGTTCAACTAGTTACTATTATATTAAATGTATTCTTTAACTATTTCTAATGAATTCCATTTTTTAAATAATTAGGTCTTAGACCACAACATTTATCTGGCCTTCAGCTTGTACGTGACATTTTCAATGCAGATTTACAAGGCGATAAGGTAACATCCTATATATCAATAGCTTATATAATACATTAACGTACAATCTTATCTACAAAGTATATATCTAGTAATATCATCAAATCTTTTAGATTGGTTCCGAAGAAATTTTGTTTCAGCCAAATGATGTGGATCAAAATAAAACTTTCATATGTGACACTAAGACAGCAGGGTAATATTTAATTTTAATGCCTTGGACTTTTTATTTACCTACTGTAATTTATCAAATTTATATTTTTTGTTATTCATTTATTATTTAAATTGCAGAAGCATTTCATTATTGATTCAGATCGCGTTACCACCATTGATTTTTTCTGCTCCGCCCCAAAAATCAAAGTTACCTTTACCACCTAGAACACAGAAGGCTATTCTTAAAGGTGGAACTAATGTCGAAATGGCGCCACCAATTGATTTTTTAATTGAGGTATTATTAATTTCTAATTTATATCTCACTTTTTATTACTTTAACGTAACCTTATACTTCACTTTTATTTCAAAGGTGTTTAGGCCAATTGTTCAACGTGTATTTGGTTTCAATTTTGACATTAATGTTATAGGCCGTGGGTCTGTCACAATAATTCATATCTTCATATTAATATTACGTGTAAGCTTGATGTAAGATCTAAATCTTCTATTTGTATATTAGTTATTATCCTCAAGGTGGTGGTGAAGTCATTTTAAGTGTAGATCCTTTAGTTAAACAAGCCTTAAAGCCATTATATATGATCGACCGTGGTAAAATAGTTAATATCAAAGGGTAAGCTTTTAATTGAATTGGTAACCGAATGATAAACATGTTTAACATATACAGTACTCTATTTCATTTCTTATATTTTAAAATATTTATTTTTAAGGCGCGTGACTATTGCAAATTCTCCAAAAGAAGTAAATTATAGATACTTTGCTATCTGTCACTTATACTTTTAATTAAAATGTATCCCCAATTTGTTCAATGCGTCTCAGGTTGCTACTAAAATAATTTCGGGTGTAACTCAAGCATTTTCTAATGCGTCAGTGCCAGAACTCAACAATATTAAGCCGGATATAGAGACTAATATTGTTAAGATCGCCTCTGGCAAAGGTTACGACATATTGTAGGTTACTACAGGATATATATATATATTTATATTACATTGCCTATAATATATATAATGTATGCTCTTTTTGCAGACTATGGGCAGAGACAAGTTCAGGATGTATAATAAGTGGTAATGCGGTTAGCAACAGAGGTAGATTTCTAATGGAGTTATTAAAATAATATCTTTTACGATATTACAATTGAATTATTTACTATCTAGTTCGATAATAAAATACTCTAATTAATATTAGGACAATCACCAGTGGATGTAGGAAAAAGAGCTGCCGAAGAGCTTTTGCGTAATATCAAGCATGGTGGATGCGTAGATGAGTATGTTGCTTATCGGTATTACCTTATTTTGTGTAATCACGAGTTCTCTAACTATACAATTCATTGCCTTAAACATATAAGGTATCTTCAAGATCAACTAATAATTTTTATGGCGATCGCAGAGGGAAAGTCACAGATTGTTACTGGTTATTACAAATTTACTTTTATAATATTTGTGGGGACTGAAGCTGAAATTTGGGTTCTACTTAAATTTGCCAAAAACCACTTATATTCCTTTATTAATAACTATAATGAAAAAACTCACCCCAAAATTTAATAAAAATAGGTCAAGGTTTTAACTTCAGTCACCACAATATTTTTATTTGTAATTATATATATATATATTCATAAATATATAATTCTTAATAGGTCCAATTACTTTACACACTCGTACAGCTATATATTTTGCGGAAATAATGTTAGGTGTTAAGTTTAATATCGATAAACTTGAATTGTCCGAACCGCAACAATGTGTACAGGAACATAGTGAATGTCTAGATAATGAA